ACCAATTTTATTTATTTATTTATTTTAATTTTTATTTATTTATGATAGTCACAGAGAGAGAGAGAGAGAGAGAGAGGCAGAGACACAGAGACACAGGCAGAGGGAGAAGCAGGCTCCATGCACCGGGAGCCCGATGTGGGATTTCGATCCGGGGTCTCCAGGATAGCGCCCTGGGCCAAAGGCAGGCGCCAAACCGCTGCGCCACCCAGGGATCCCTGTAAATACCAATTTTAAAAACACTGTAAATTAGTAATAAATTTTTAGCTGATAGTATGTCATTATTATTTTTTTCAGAATATTACTACTTTTCATTTTGATGTTTCATATGTTGATGTTTCCTACTTAGTACGTTTTGGCTAGTTCCTATCCATCCCTGTACAACTCATCCCCTCTCCCATCTTCCATAATATTCATATTAAAGCCTTTTAAAATGCTCTTCAGTGGTGGCTTAGAGTTTTTTCCCCCATAGGTCCTTTCTAACATGTTTTCCTTCACCCTAATCCTTCAATGACTACGCAGAACCTGAAGCAACCTGGAGATGTAACTACACAAGAGAATGATCTCTCCTTTACAGTCAGATTGCTATTTCACTCTTTACTCATTTCCTTGTTTTGCACTCAGATCTCTATTTTTTTTTTTTCAAGACAGTTCAGGGGATTTTCTTTTTCTTGTAACAGTTAAAGTTCTCCTTTAACCCTTCTCCCAATACTCTTCTCCTTCCCTTTCTGCAGCTAGAATCCTCACTTCTAGCATTAATTTCCCTGCAGTCACCCTACATGTTCTGGTCTTCTTTGGCTAGCCAGAGGCCTCTCCTTTTTCTCAAGTCCTGATGGACATATAGCAAATGTGTATAATGTTCATATGACCTATTTTCCACTTAGCCATACCTGGAATGGGTACTGGTTTTCTTACCTCTACATTTTTGTTCCCAATAGATTATTAGAGAGGCCAAGTATTTTATCTTTTATTTGTTCCCCTCTTCTCTGTTACCCCACCTGAGATACCACATAGGTCTGAGGTGGTATTCTACACTTTCCTTAACAATTTTAACCACTGTTTCTTTAATCTCTGGTACTGTTGGCAACAACAATTGCACCTTCACACCTGCACCCAAATTGTTCTCTTACAGGAATGTTTTAAAAGTGGGGTGTGAGGTGGACCCAGTTTAGAGGATTATTGAGTGTTGACTCCTCTTTGGAGAGAGCCTGTTTTCCTGATTTCCAGGCATCAGTCAGCACCAGGGGGCAGGAGAGAAAGCAGCATGAATGGAAACAAGTACAAACTCAAAAGGACTGTGAGTAAGCAGCATAGAACTATGTGAAAGCCTCCCACACAGTTCTTGGTACCTAGTAGGTAGGCTGTAGGTAGTTGAATCTGAAAGTTTTAAAACCCTTTAAAAATGATTTCTTAGTAGTTCCTGTTCATTGTAGAAAAATGAAAATATACAAAGAAGTGAAATGAAAAATTTTTAATTACTCATAATCTCACCATCCAAAAATAAGCACTGTTAACACTTTGATAGAACATATTCTACTTTCTATGCATGCACATTCTTCCTCTATTTTTAAAAAAAGATTTTTATTTATTTATTCATGAGAGACATAGAGAGAGAGAGAGGCAAAACATAGGCAGAGGGAGGAGAAGCAGGTTCCCTGCAAGGAGTCGGATATGGGACTCCATCCCGGGAGTCCAGGATCACACACTGAGCCAAAGGCAGACACTCCACTGCTGAGCCACCCAGGAGTCCCCACATTCTTCCTCCAAAATGAGATCACAATACAGTCTTATTACTTTATGTTTCTCTATAACTTTAATTGGTAATATCCCCTTTTTTAGTTTAACATGTGATCATGAGTAGAATAAAAAATTCTACGTAGTGTTCCAATTTTGGCTCTGACCTAACCAGTCCCTGGTAAGCAGCTCAGTTTGAGTTTTAGATTTATCATCTGGGGGGGGGGGGGACTTAGAACCAGTGATAATGTCAGGCACCTTCCACCATCTATCATGCTAATTGTCAATGGGTAATTAAAGGAAGACAATGTGGAAAGCCCTGGTGGCTCAGCGGTTTAGCGCCGCCTGCAGCCCAGGGCGTGATCCTGGAGACCCTTGATTGAGTCCCCATGTCAGGCTCTCTGCATGGAGCCTGCTCCTCCCTCTGCCTGTGTCTCTGCCTCTCATTCTCTCTCTCTGTCTCTCTGAATAAATAAAATCTTAAAAAAAAAAAATAAAGGAAGACAATATGGTACAATGGTTCTGGTTCTGGCATCAGCCAGCTTCTAATCCCCAGATACACTTTGGGTAGATTTTTTGACCTCGCAGTGCCTTCCTTTCCTTATCTCTAAAAGTGGAATTAATAATAGTATACACCGTCTAGAGTTGTTCTGAGATAAAAACAGGTAAGACACATACTGTGGGACCCAGGAAATTTAACAAAAATCCCCTACCCCTGGACAAGCAGAGCAGGACTAACTCCATTTTGTGCTACACCCGCCACCTCCTGTATGACCCCCACATGACCTGCTTATTGCTTAAGGCGCTGCCCCACCCTAGTCAAGCCGCTGGGCACACCCTAATCGGAAATCGGCTCATTAACAATGTAACCCTGCCTTGTGCCCGCCAAAACTGCGCGCCCATTCTGACCAAAGTAAAAGGCCAGCTCAAGTGGATACTATAGGGTAAGGTGTAATTCAATCGGCCACCTGCGTGTGGACCGACCTGACTGTGCAACTTGCTGCGTATCCCACGGGCCACTGGCCCCTATAAAGCTGCTACGCCTCTTAGTCTCGGGGTCCAAGTCCCTGCTCCGCTGTGTCGGGTAGGGTATACTTGGACCCAGGCTCGAGCTTGTAAATAAACCCTCGTGTGATTCCATCGGTGTCGGCTCCTTGGCGGTTTCTCGGCGGTTTCTCGGATTCGTGATCTTGGGCACAACAATACAACACTTAAAACAGTATTTGGACATAGTAAAGGCCCAATAAACAGGAGCTATCAGTATAATAGCTCAGGTACTGGCCACCTGTAGTAATGGAATAATAACTAAAACTGAGGAGTACTGATATGAGAACTACCAGGAGTTGAACACATGCACTGGACACTCTGCTAAGTTTTCTCAGCAGCAGAGTTTTATGTAATCTTTGGAGCAATTTCACTATCTCCACTTTGTGAGGAAGTTGAGGCTAGAACTTGCTTAGATTCATGTAGCTTGTAAGTGTCAAACCCAGAGACTGTGTCACCTACAGCTAGTTTTGGTTGGGCTGGGGGGCTAGAAGATCTGCTACTAGTTGGAAGTTTCCTTCCAAAAACGAAACTCAAGCATTAAGTACCGTCCCTGGTGATACTCAGCATGGGTGTCTTTCTTTTTATTTTAGAAACTCTATTTTAAAAATTCCAGAGATGCCTGGGCGAGGGTCTGCCTTTGGCTCAGGCCGAGCTTCTGGAGTCCAGTGATCGAGTTCCGCATCTGACTCCCTGTGGGGAGCCTGCTTCTCCCTCTGCCTGTGTATCTGCCTCTCTCTGTGGCTCTCATGAATAAATAAATGAAATGTTAAAAAAAAAATTCCAGTGTTTGACAGTAATTTAAAAGACACAGGGATTTTTAAAAACATTTTACATTTTGCACACTTTATTACTTTTTTTAAAATTTTTTTTAAATTTATTTATGATAGTTACACAGAGAGAGAGAGAGAGAGAGAGAGAGAGAGAGAGAGTCAGAGACACAGGCAGAGGGAGAAGCAGGCTCCATGCACCGGGAGCCCGACGTGGGATTCGATCCTGGGTCTCCAGGATCGCGCCCTGGGCCAAAGGCAGGCGCCAAACCGCTGCGCCACCCAGGGATCCCACTTTATTACTTTTTAAAGATTTTATTTATTTATTCATGAGAGGCACACACACACATACACAGAGGCAGAGACACAGGCAGAGGGAGAAGCAGGCTCCATGCAGGGAGTCCCATGTGGGACTCGATCCCAACACCCCAGGACAGGATCATGCCCTGAGCAGAAGGCAGACGCTTAACCGCTGAGCCACCCAGGCGTTCCTGCACACTTTAACTGACTCATGGATATGGAAGTTAATAGAGGAAAGCTAGGACATGGGTTTTTAGAAAAACAATTTATACTCGACTTAGATATTTAATTTTATGGTTGTAACTGATGGTCTAAAAACTCCCCAAACTAAACAAAGTAACGAAACCTCAGCAAAAGTAACTGGCTTGGGAGAGTCATGATACTTACAGGGAGATATTTTGACATTTTGGTTTCCACCTCACTGCCAAAGGACATCAGAACGGAGTTGAGAGATTTGGATTGACCACTGTGAGCAAAAAAGGCCATTTCATTCTGGCTTCAGTTTTCTCTTCCAAGGAGAAAAACTGAAGAATAGATTGGAATACAAAGTGCCTTTTAATTAAATGCCACGTCCTTGTTCTACGGGTCTAGCATGCTTTATTAGCAACACTTGTAGAGAGGTTGGTAATAATTCTTAGCAGCCTTGGTCCACTCTGTGGTGGATTTTTGGATTTCACCCTAATTTAAAAATGCACCCAACCTCTGAATGCTTAGGCTAAGGCGAGGGAGAAGACGAGAAGACGTACCAACCAGTGAAAAAGATAACCATTTCGAATATGACAGGCATTTGTTAGGAGCCACAACTCTCCCTGCTTAGGTTTAACTGTGCACAAACGCTCAGGACGCAAAAGGCATCTGCTCCCCCTAGGGCCGCCCTGAGCCGGCGCCCAGCCGGGGCGAGGCTTGCCGCTCCCTGGCCCGCCCCGCTACGTGCTGCACGCCGCCGCCTCCACGCCCCCCTCGCCCAGGGTTCGCGTTACCGAGCGCGCTGCAGCTGCGGGCGGAGTCCCCGGCGCTCCCCCGCGGACCACGCCGATCACGTTCCCAGCGCGAGGGCTCGCGCCCGAGCCGGGCGCTGATTGGTCGTGCCGCGGGGCCAGCCGCTCGGGGATTGGTGCGAAGGACGGGTTCACGTGGTCCGGGGCAGATAAGCGGCCTCTCCCACGCCGCACCCTCAATCCGCCCGAGCTCCTGCCCAACGGAGGTGGCCGCGAGCTGGGCGCGAACTTGCGCGGGTCCGCCGCCGCCCGGTGGCCCGATGAGCTGCACCAGGTAGGTTCGCCGCAGACTCCCCGCACCAGAGCAGAGGGGAGCGCACAGCTGCAGGGCGGTTGGGCTGCTGGTCCTTCGGGCATCGCTGAAAACGGCGACCCCAGAGGACGGCTAGCTGGCTGACTGCTGAGCGGAATCTGGCCCCAGGGAAGCCTCGGCTGGTGGAGATTTGCTCAGTGCTTCTCAGCCAAAGCTTATTTTGGTAATTAGCATCCCAAACCAGAAACTCTTAACTGTGAGTCAGCTTTAGCTCTAGTATCTGTTATCTTTTGATCTTTTGATCCCGCACAAATGCCCCAAGGACTGGGGCAGCTTGTGGGAACCGCACCTTGACGTTACTGATTGTGTTGTTTAGCCTGGGGGAAACTGCAGTGTGTCGTTCTGCTTTCTTTCGCCCTCCTCCACGATTCTTATCACGGTTTGCCATAGTAAACTCAGCGGGGGAATTTGAGCAAATGATGATTTTCTGACTTTTGGCCAGGAACTCACCAAATCCTAAAACTGTCTTTCTATAACTGCAAAAAGTAAAAAAATGCAAAACAAAACCACAAAACAATAAAAAAAACCCTCCATAAAACTACTTTAAATAGCTTACCCAGACATAACTTACTTAGAACACTTCTCTAAAAATCCTGCCTGTTAACTATTATTAGGCTCACAAATATAGCTTTAGCTTTCATTTGTTTTTTTCTAAGTGTGTAGGCCTTCCAGAAAAATCTCAGGACTAATAAATTCTGTGAATGTTCTTACATTATCCATTTTGTGTTAATGACCATTTGCCTATGTGCTTAGAGCTGCTGTGAAAAATTACTGAAGCCAGATTGAGAAATGTCATTATAGTATACATATACCTCCTATCTGTAAGGAGAGGACAGGGAAAAAAGTATCCATAAGCTTGGCAATACGTATGAAGGGCTAAAGGCCAGGAAAAACTTCATGGAACTTCTTAATTTAACATTGCTGAGCATAGTTATGTTTAAACTTTTAAATAGCTTTATTATCTTGCTAGTTATTAATATCCATTGCCAAACATTAGAAAATACCAAAAAAAAAAAAGTACAAAGATAAATATAGGTCATCACTGCCCAGAGATATGTAACTTTTTGGTGTATTTCCTATTAAGTATTTCATTAATTCATATATACAGCATACATTGAAAACAGTCCAATTTTAAAGTAATTAGCTTTTGTCACCTAAATGTGGGTTTGTCATGGATATCTTTCTAGATGAAATATAGATTGTGTGAAGTTTTTCTTTAAGTGTATGAAGTGCTGATCTGAATTTCAGTTGGTTACTTATGAAAATGAGGAAGAACATGATAAAATGCAAAGCTAATCTCTGACTTCATTCTTTCCAGCCTTCTCTCAAAACTGTTCCATGAGAATTTTATTGCTATTTATTTTTCTTCTTAAGTGTATTACCTTTCCAGAGAAGGGTAGTCAATTTAACAGCAAGATCATCAGAGCAGCTAGAGGGAGCAGAGTCTGGAATCATGGTTCTGGAACTTGTCTGGTCACCAGTATTACCTGGGAAGCTGTAAGAACATCTCTACTACCCCTGTCCCCACTCACAGAGGGTTTGCCTCAGCAGCTCTAAGTCCTAGGAATTGGCATTAAAAGGAAAGAAAGAAAACAAACTCTCTAGGCCATTGTGATTAGACAGGTTTGAGAACCACTGGCTCCGGACAAAGCAAATGGTTCTTAGAGCTATATTAGAGATTATCACATGCAGCCCTTTCATTTTTCAGATGGGGATACTGAGACCCCCACATGTTTTAAGCAGTTAACCCATGGCCTTGTAGTCTGCCAGGGCACAGCCAAATATAGGATGCAAATCTGATCATCTAATACTGTTTTATTTGACTACATCTGATAGCACATCCCTGATGCTTACTGTGCTGGTTACAGTTTAGAAAATACAAAAATAGTATATATATATTTGGAACCAGGGGAAGAGCATTCCAGATTCAGGTGATAACCCCTCTTCTTTTTGTATTCCAGAATGATCCAGGTTTTAGATCCGCGACCTTTGACAAATTCAGTCATGCCAGTGGATGTGGCCATGAGGCTCTGCTTGGCTCATTCGCCACCTCTGAAGAGTTTCCTGGGCCCTTATGATGATCTCCAACGAAGAAATTTTGTGAACAAGTTAAAGCCCTTGAAATCATGTCTCAATATAAAACAGGAAGCCAAATCACAGAATGAGTGGAAGCAGTCACATGACCAAACCAAGAAGCGGGTTGTGTTTGCTGACTCCAAGGGGCTCGCTCTCACCGCCATCCATGTCTTCTCGGACCTCCCAGAAGAACCAGCGTGGGATCTCCAGTTTGATCTCTTGGACCTTAACGATATCTCCTCTGGCTTAAAACTCCACGAAGAGAAAAACTTGATTTTAGATTTTCCCCAGCCTTCAACTGATTACTTAAGTTTTCGGAACCACTTTCAGAAGAATTTTGTCTGTCTGGAGAACTGCTCTTTGCAAGAGCGAACAGTGACTGGAACTGTGAAAGTGAAAAACGTGAGCTTTGAGAAAAAGGTTCAGATTCGTATCACTTTTGATACCTGGAAGAGCTACACTGATGTGGACTGTAACTACATGAAAAATGTGTATGGTGCCTCAGATAGTGACACCTTCTCATTTGCCATTGACTTACCCTCTGTCATTCCAACTGAGGAGAAAATTGAGTTCTGCATTTCTTACCATGCTAATGGGCAGGTCTTCTGGGACAACAACGAGGGTCAGAATTACAGAATTGTCCATGTGCAGTGGAAACCTGATGGAGTGCAGACACAGATGGCATCTCAGGACTGTGTATTCCACCAGGTGCCCCCCAAGACTGAGTCAGAGACCTCCATCTTTGGCAGTCCAAGGCTGGCCAGTGGGCTCTTCCCAGAATGGCAGAGCTGGGGGAGAATGGAGAACTTGGCTTCTTATCGATGATTAAGTAACCTAGTGACTGGTTTTGACCTGGCATATTTCCCATGTAATTCTCGGTCTGTATTGCTCAATATTAGGAAGTCTTTGCTACTTTCCTTCAGTAGGTTTAGTTTTGAGCTTTTGAGACCTGGCTATAAAAAGATAGCCACTTGAGAATTTAGTGTTGAGGTCTATACTGCCTAGTATTGCTTTGGAGGATCAAGTAACAGCCTGGAACCCTATTTTTGTAAAAGCAATACTGTTCCAATGCCCTTTCTCCTTCCATCTCAATTCACTAGCTTTCATGGTGGGCAAGGAATGGTTGAGAAAGGACAGTTGGTGGTGATAGAAAGCTGTTTTAATGGTATGAGGAATGTCTGAAAAGTGCGCACAAAGGGCTCTGCAGCTCAAGTCCGTGTAGGAGCGGTTTGATACTTCGCTATTGGTGAGAAAATGTAAGGTTACTTTGTGCTTTTAAGTTGGTTTTACAGTTCTCTCCTAAGGAAATAATTTGTGTTGGGGGAGGGAAGATTCTATTTTCTATATTCTTGTGGAGAAAAACCAAACTTTAGGGGTGTTGAGTGGTATTGGGGAAAGATGAATAATAACTCTGGAGAGTCAAGATTTTAAATGAAGCTTTTCTTTTCAAACGATTTATGAAAAAGCATGATTTGGGGAAAGTTTAAGCAAATCTGGCTTTGCAGTCCTTATGTTATAAGTGATTTTGTTTGTGATCAAGGCATCATGCTTAGGTAGTCAGTCCAGAATGCTACCTAACAAAAAAAACCATACCATCATCAGTGGTTAACAACCATGGGGATTCTGTTATGTCAAAGATTGCTCTTTGCAAGTGCCTTGATTAAGCCAGAATATTATGTTGTTCCTAAATATCTGAAGGGTCATCTGATAATTCATGAGTGACTTTATAAGAAGGTCCATTCTGTATACTGGCATCCTGTTTGTGATACTGTTACATCTCTGAGAGTGTTGCCAGCGTACACAATTCGAATCCTTCATATTGAAGGTGACTCATTTTTCTGCCACACTTTTTCGACATGATGTTGGAAGTGAGGACTGACACTGATTCTCAGTTCAAGAATCCAGTACGTTGCACATAAAAGTAGCAATCTATTTCTTGCCTATATTTGTGTTAAGTCTTTCTACCAATTTCTTTGAAGTAAAAGTATTTTTTTTAAATGGATGTGAATTGTTTGGATGTATTGTAATATAATTGTTTTGGGGTGTGTATATATCCATTCTATAAGATCATAAGAATGAGTCCTTGAATGTTTGCTTCTATCATTGTGCACATCCATTGGGAGGTGTTCAGAGAATGCAGTTGAATTTAACATGTGTGATCTGCCATGCTGGAAAAGTACTATTGGAATAACTCTGCTATGACAGTATTTGAGGTTTGGCTAGCACCCACAATTTTTCTACTGTAAATGTTTCACTCTCCTATAGCTGTCCTTTGTGAACTTCTCACTTTAAAGAATAAAAGTGTTTGATACAAGACCTGAGTATGTTTTCTTTCTCAAAGCCACAGCTAGTCAAATAAACCATCAACTGAGATTCTCCTGTTTTGTTTAAGAACTGAGCAAAGAGGGGATCCCTGGGTGGCTCAGCAGTATAGCGCCTGCCTTTGGCCCAGGGCACGATCCTGGAGTCCTGGGATCAAGTCCCACATCCGGCTTCCGGCATGGAGCCTGCTTCTCCCTCCTTCTGTCTCTGCCTCTCTCTCTCTCTCTCTCTCTCTCTCTCTCTCTCCTCTCTCTCTCTCACTCTCTATCATGAAAAATAAATAAAACTTAAAAAAAAAAAAAAAAGAACTGAGCAAAGATAGTTTGGTTGGACCGGGAATTGGATTCACTTAAGGTTATTCACACAGTTCCAGTCTCAATAGTGAGGACACTTCCTACTGCCTGACCACTAGGGGTAGAGTCCAGGGATAGTTACTTGAGCTGCTGCAACTGTTCCCCTTTTTGTCCCCATTAGTACTTACTGTTCATCACACATACTCTGCTGGGTCAGGGTTCTCTTGGGGGCTGCTCCTCAGCTTTTAAAATGGGGAAGAGACTGTGTGGGAAGAGCTGGAGTGGGCTTCCCCCTCTTCAACTCCACCTTCCCAAAGGGGCACAGGCTGGAGCTGCACAGAGGACATAGGGAGGGGGCAATGGGCACCAGTCCTGGACTGAAAGGAGAGGATCAGCTCCCTGCAGTGAGAGACAGTACTTCTATGAAACAGTAGATCCAGTTCTCATGTAAAATTCCAGAAAGGGCTTCTGCATGGGTTATCTCAAACTTAAGGTGAAACAAATGACCAGCCTACTGAAAAGGCCCAATTTTGAAAAACAGATTTTGTATTATAACATCCTTTTTATCAAAAGTTGTAAACTATAGCCCTGCAGGCTGTATCTGGCTGTGGGTGTATTTCGTTTTTCACACAGTGTCTACAACAAGGATCTCGGTTACCTTTGCCTTCTGGAAGAATTTTAGAGGTTCTAGTACCTAAAGAAGTACATCATAGCACACCCAAAATTATACCCCATACAGCCTGATCAAGATGAGTATGGCCTTGAAAATGTAAAAATTAAAGTCTGTATTACTCCCCCCAAAATTCCTCCAGGACAAAACACCTGAAAATGCTAGATAAAATATTTCTAAATTATATTTTAATATAATAATAATGTAATGTTTTAAAAGCAATGCTGAACTGTTGGGAAGGATGGCCTTGATGGCCTACTCTGCCTCCTAAATAAAAAGCCAAAGCAGGACCCTAGAGAATAAATGTTTACTGAAGCTGGCAGCTGTCCTGAAGTCACTTGTTAATCCCCTGGTGACCAACATCAGTCTTTAACATCTATGGCTGCTAAGGGGACAGAAGAGAAAGTTAGTGTCCATTAAGCTGGGAGGTAGTCACAGTGAATGTCTAGTATAGCTAGAACCAAGAAAGGATACAGCCACATTAAGAAAATAATATAATCCTTACAAAGAAATTCAACTAGGAAAGATGCCTGTACCTCTGGGTAGAGGGAAACAACAAACTCCTCTTAAAATTCATAACCATAATCTGGCCCTCACATGAATTTGTAATCTGAAATCACATTCCTTGTATTCTGAAAAACCTCAAACCAAAAATTTATTAAAAATGATCCCTGGTTCCAGTACCCACAGATGCTCAGTAAAAGCAAATGCAAGAACTCTCTGTAAAAGTGTGCCTTTAACCTAAGCCACAAAGAATTTTCATCCAACATGGATTCATAAACAAATCAATAAAAAGACAAGTCTGACAAGATGCATGAAGAAAAAGTAAGAAAATGAAAAAAAATATTTAAAAAAGTCATAGGTAATGGATAAATAAGTATTAGGGCATTATGGAGAACTCCATGATGATAACTCTGTAAATTTAGATAAAGTGGAGAATTTCTAGACAAATGTGCTGTATTAAAATGGTTTCAAGAAGAAACAGAAAACTAGTCAGGTTTTAAACTAGTAATAAACTAGTAATTTAAAATTTAAGATTAATAATTTAAAATTGATAGCTTAAAATCCACTCACAAAAAAAATACCTGGTCCAGATATTTTTACAGGTGAGTTGTATCAAATATTTAAGGATCAAATATTTCTTTTTAAAAAAATATTTATTTATTTGGGGGAGAGAGAGAGAGAGCAAGAGTGAGCATGGTCGGGGAGGGGCAGAGGACGAGAGCAAGGACAGAGAACCTCAAGCAGATTCCCTGCTGAGCATGGAGTCATAGGTGGGGCTTGAGCTCATGACCCTGAGATCATGACCTGAACCGAAATCAAGAGTCAGATGCTCAACTGACTGAGCCACTGAGGCACCCGTAGAATCAAATATTTTATTTATTTATTAGAGAGAGAGCAAGCACAAGTAGGGGGAGGGGTAGAGGGACCAACAGACTCCTAGCTGAGTGCAGAGCCCAATGAGGGGTTCAATTCCAGGACCCTGAGATTATGACCTGAGCCAAAGGTAGATGCTTAAGCAACTGAGCCACGCATATGCCCCAGGATTAAATATTTCTTTCTCTTCTCTTCTTCTTCTCTCTCTCTCTTTTAAAATAGATTTTCTTTATTTGAGAGAGAGCACACACAAGGTGGGGGGCAGAGGGAGAAGGAGAAATAGACTCCCCACTAGTAGGGAACCCAACATGGGGCTTGATCCCAGGACCCTGGGATGATGACCTGAAATGAAAGCAGACGCTTTACCGATTGAGCCACTCAGGCACCCAGGATCAAATATTTCTAATTTTATATAAACTATTCCAGAATATATAAAAAAGAGGGAACATTCCTCAACTTATTAATGAGTTAGCTTGACCTTGATACTGAAACCTACTGGGGACAAATGTAAGCCAATCTCACTTATTAACATATACAAAGATTTGCAAACAATAAATTATTAAAATATAAAAAAATAATGTATTATGATCAAGTTGAGTATTCTGAATGGAGTTTGGTTTAATATTAGATCAATGATTATAATCTGAATATAAATAGATTAAGGGAATAAAAATGTTAGCTCAACAGATGTCAAAAAAAGTTTATAAAATTTCCCTTAATGGAAAAAAAGCCCTGAAACTAGTAATAAAAGGAAATTTGGGAAAGGATATCTATTCAAAATAAAAACAAAACCTACAAACACCATACTATGGTAAATGTTGAAACTCCTTTTAAGATAAGTTCCTCTATTGCCACCTCTCTTAAACATTGTGCTGGAAATCTGAGCCAGTGAAGTAAAGCAAGAAAAAAATAAAAATAGGATTGGTAGGAAATAAAGAAAATTATCATTATTTACAGATATGCTTACCTGCATAGAAAATCCAAAAGGATCTACTACTATTATTATTAGAATAAATATGAGAAATAGCAAGGTTGTTGGATATAAATTGCGACAGCTTACAAAATGGTCCTAATGGTGCTGACCTGAGATTCATCGGGTAGTTTCCTCCCATGATGTGCCAGAGTTGCTCTGTGTAACCAATAGAATACAGTAGAAATTATGACACATCACCTCCAAGATTAGGCTATAAAAGACACTGTGGCTTTCATCTTAGTTGCTTTCTCTCTCTCTCTCTGATTTGCTTGCACTAGGGGAAGTCAGTTATCTTGTTGTGAGCAGCTCTACTGGGGTTGCCCATGTGGAGAGGAACTGAGGTCTCTTAAAGAGCCATGTGAGTGAGTTTGGAAATGGATCCTTCAGTCCCACTCTTGGCTGACATCTTGATTACAGCCTAATGAGAGACCCTGACCAAAATTTCCAGCTAAGTTGCTTCTGAATTTTTGACTTAAACTATGAGATAATAAATGTTTGTGGGTTTTTTAAGAAAATTTTTATTTGAGAGAGAGAGAAAGAGAGAGAGCAAGAGAGAGAGAGCATATGCACATAAGCAGGGGGAAGGGGAGAGGGAGGGGGAGAAGCAGACTCTCAGCTGAGCAGGGAGCCTGATTCCGGAACCCTGGGATCATGACCTGAACCAGAGGCAGATACTTAACCTATTTAACCTACTGAACCTCCCAGGTGCCCCTAAATGTTTGTGGTTTTAAGCCACTAAGTTTGGGGTAATTCGTTACTCATCAATAGATGACTAATACAAAAAAAAAATCGATGACTAATACAAGGACCACCATCCAAAAGTGAACTGAATATCAATCTATATGCATGCAATAAATAGAAAAGGTAATTTTTGGAAAAAGGGCGTATTTTACAATAGCAGTAATGATATAAAAAGTCTCTGGAATAAATATAACAAAAGTTTAACAAAATATTTATGGAGAAAATTATAAGTACATATTGAAAGACAATAAAGAAATTTACAAACAAAAACTATTCCATATTTATGGTTAGGAATACTTAATATCATGAAGATGTCTACTATTTTACACAATGCCAATAAAAAACAAGATATCAATAGGGTTTTTTTTTTAAGATTTTATTTATTCATGAGAGACACAGAGAGAAAGGCAGAGACATAGGCAGAGGGAGAAGCAGGCTCCCTATGGGGAGCCTGATGCAGAACTCAATCCCGGGACCCTGGGATCATGCCCTGAGCCAAAGGCAGATGCTCAACCACTGAGCCACCCAGGTATGTCGCTTAAGGAACTTGACAAATTGCTTCTAAAATGTGTGTGGAAGTAGAAAGAGCCCCAAGAAGAATCAAGGATTTCCTGAAGAAGTGGGGGAGAGGGGGAGGACTTGCTATAGCAAATACCAAGATGTCTTATAAAATTACACTATTACAATGGGGTCTAAGGGCAGGGCTAGAAAATTTCCAGTGGAACAAATCAGAGTGCCCAGAAATTGACCCACATATCAATAAAGGCTTGGCTGGCAAAAGAGCTGGGAATGGTACTATGTAGGAAGAGAACGGATTTCACAATAACTGACATGGGAACAAATGGTTTTCCACATGTAAAAGCATAAAACCAGGACCCTCTCACATGTCTTGCTCTAAAAGCAGTTCCAGAGGCTTGAATAATTAAAGAGGGAAAGGGGA